CAGGATACCTGGAGGACTTTGGTAGTGACTGTCACATAGGTCTGTACGCATTAATTCTTCTTGTGTTCATTTTGTAAGTTTGCCCTGAAGAACAAAATCCATGTTGACACTTCACTGAAATACTGACATGAAGTGGGACTGGTCAAACATCAGAGTCCAAGCTCTTTGCTGACTGAGGGAGCTGCCATTGTATTCGGAGCCAGAACTAATCTGTGTTGATGCTTTTTCTTTTTTAACCACATGATATACTTAATCCATCTTTAACCCAGTAGTGTTATTTTAATGATAAACTTGATACTATCTACTCTGTACTGCATTTTTAATTTTACTTTTCCAGAATCGGTTACAAAAGAAGCTGATGATGACAGTGACGATGATGATGAAGATGATGACGACGACGATGATGAAGATTCTGAAGTAAAAGAAGAAAATGGGGTATTAGTCTTGAATGATGCAAACTTTGACACCTTTACTGCAGACAAGGACACTGTGCTGCTGGAGTTCTACGCACCATGGTGAGTTCACAGCCTGTGACACCTCCTTAGGTGCAGGATGGCTATTGGGGGCTTCTCTGACAGGACACACTCCTGAAAATTGAGCTTGGGTTGCCATTTTGAAGATGATGTAGGAGTAGCTTGCCTGCAGGAGAAGCACAAGACTCTGCCATAGTGCAGGGTAGGAGACTTAATTTAAACAGTGCCTCATAGATCTACATGATGATGGTAATTCTGCTGGCATACCAGGGTACTCAGCAACACTAATGCACTCAGGGGAACTACAGTGGATTTACCTGCATACAACTGAAACAAAGAATTTAGGCCAGAGTATCATCTCTTGCATTCTTGCAGACAAAAATAATAGGGATGGTTAGTGGGGAAAAACAAGAGTAGAATATATTTGCAGTCAAGTCGCTGAGTTAGTGTTGCAGCCAGAACCTCTTTTCCATTGTGGTCTAGTGATATAAAGGTGACTTACTTGTTTGTCCTTCTCTAGTCTTTGAATAGAGGGGAGAATATGATCTTCCTTGAGGTGGAGTTGCATTTAACTTTTGCTACTCTTACTACAGAGAATCCCATCCCTGCTTGGCTGTAGGTACTATTTCTGCAGCTGTAGTTTGCCTTCATGAAAGCTGAACATGAAGCCTAATTTATCCAAGCAGAAGGATATGTGATCATCACAGACAGACACCTCTTTTCTTTTTTTTCTCCTTCCCCTCCTGCCAAGTGAGAGGCTAAAGAATATGGGCTGTCTGCTACACACTACTGTCCCCTCATTTTCTTCATTTTCCTGGTTTCATCTTCAGCTTGTCAAGATATATTCAGTCTTTTTTATGCTGGTATCCTCTGTCATGTCAGCTTTTTCAGCAAGAGCCTCTGTTCTTCCCAAAAGTTGTGGTATGGCCAGACAGAAAGCAGGTGTTGCAATACCATGGTGTGTGTGAGATTTCATTAGGCCAACTTACCTACTGGTTCATTTTTCTCTTTAATTCAATTTAGGGTGCTGGATAGAGAAGATGAACCTAGATTAGGGAGAAGCTGAAATTCGAATGAGACCATATTTGAAGGGCAGGGAGGAAGGAGAAGCATGGTAAAAGGTTTGCAATTTTGTTGTAAAAGCAATTGTTAACTTTTTTTTTACAGTGGCTTTATAAAAACATATATGGAAATGTGTTGCCTTTTGAATTGAAAGAAAAAAGAGTTGGGATTTGACCAAACAGCACATTAGCAACAGTTACTCTTTATCTCCATGATCTGAAAACATAGCAAGACAAATGTTCTTATGTTGACGTTGTCATCTTGTGTCAGAAGGCATCCTGGAAATGCAGAGTATCAAAATATCCCTGTGGGTCTGTTATGCATTTATTTATTAACTCGTGTCCTCCTCTGACAGGTGCGGGCATTGCAAGCAGTTTGCTCCTGAATATGAAAAGATAGCCAAAACTCTGAAGGAAAATGACCCTCCTATTCCAGTTGCCAAAGTAGATGCTACTGCAGCTACTTCATTAGCAAGCCGTTTTGATGTCAGTGGCTACCCAACCATCAAAATCCTGAAAAAAGGCCAACCTGTTGACTATGACGGTTCTCGGACAGAAGATGGTAAGAACCAGTCCTTTGCAGTTCTCTGTAACAAAGCAAAGAAGTATATGGTCTTCCTAATGTAACTATTTTGAAGGACTTTCATCTCAAGTTACTTTATCTTAAGTAGATTAATATTATGAAGGCTGAATTTTGCCTGTCTTCTCAATTGGCTGCATGCTAGAGGGCAATTTTGCAGGTAGTGGGTAGTGCTGTCAGCGATGGAAGGTTTCTAGAAATATGACTTGACTAGAAGAGAGGGTAGTCTCATGCTTGCTGAAGGATCAGCTAGTAAGAAACATCTGGTCTATATATTGACTGTGTATAAAACCACTTGTTTCTTGCTTGATGAATGTGTCCAGCTTCAGTCAAGGGGGAAAAAAACCTACATTTTTTGTCTGTATTGAGAAGGAATCCGTGTGCTATGGTGCTGCAAAATACAGATCTAGAAGACCTTTTTGACAATACCAACAATGAAGTAAAGCATAAAGGAGCTTGATTAAGGAAGTGTTCTCATGTAAGCTTTGATCCAAGACGATGCTTGCTGCTCTGATTTTAAATTCTTGATACCGACTCTTGCATTTGATATGCTATTGGTATAATAACACATGCTAATGGTGCTGTTGAACTGTATTTCAGCAATTGTGGCCAAAGTCAAGGAGGTTGCTGACCCCAACTGGACCCCTCCACCAGAAGCTACTCTGGTATTGACCCAGGATAATTTTGATGATGTTGTGAATGGTGCTGACATAATCCTGGTGGAGTTCTATGCTCCATGGTAAGCAAAAAGGCAGTCACTTGTACTTTCTAGCACAGCTGGCCTGAACACATTTGGTGAACCTGTTTTGTGTTATTATGCCTCTTTTAAAGCGGCTTGCCTTGTGCAGGTGTTTGTAGCACTGGTGTACTTTAGTTCTAATCTGGACCTAGGATTGCATTACAAAACACTTGAAGACTAGACTGGATCTGTGTCTCAGCAAGGGGTGGTCTCCAGAACTTCACTGAAGATTCTCCATTTTACTGATTTGAGGACACATTGAGAGATACTGAAAACCAAGGAGAGTTGATCCTTGGTTCAAAAATGGCCTCTGAAAATGAAATTACCTATAGTAACGTGAGGCCAGACATAGAGGCTAGCTTCAAGTTGGAGGAACAAGTCTTCCTAGGCTGGTGTCCTCTGTAGACTGAATAATCCCATTTCTACATTCTCTGTTCTATAAAGCTTAACTCTTCCATTTCAGATGTAGAAAGTACCTAGCAGGACTCGTGGCTTGTAAAAACTGCCCTCCCTTCTCCTTCCCTAGGTGTGGACACTGCAAAAGGCTTGCACCAGAATATGAGAAGGCTGCTCAGGAGCTCAGCAAGCGCACACCTCCGATTCTCCTGGCTAAAGTCGATGCCACTGCTGAAACTGAGCTTGCGAAGAAGTTTGATGTTACTGGCTACCCAACTCTGAAAATCTTCCGCAAGGGCAAACCTTATGACTACAGTGGTCCACGGGAAAAATATGGTACTGCAGCTTCTGTTTTCTTATTTTCTGAGGGCTTGACCAGGAATGTTTTGACGTATCTATGGGACTTGCAAACTTGCTAACGTCATAGCAACGGTAGTTGGAGAAACCTGAAAAGCGCTGCTTTCATGCCTATGTAGGCCAACAGTATAAATTTGTCTCTAATCTTTATAACATCTTATGGTGGTGCTATATGCTCCTTTTAATATAAAGTAAGTTAAATACATGTGTGAAGCAGTGGCAGTTTGAGTAAATGGGCATCTTTTAATTGCAGTGAAATGTGCCATAAGGACTGGCAAAGTGCTCAGTATTAGGTTTTAATAAGAGAGAAGACTTAAGACTGTCCAAGTGGAACTTGGGCTCATAGCAGTGTCAGGAGACAGTGAAGGTTCTGGAATTTGAGAAAGGAGGTTTACTTGATCAGCTGATATCTGCAGACCTTGTGCTTGATAACCTTTTCTGAAACCAACCTGAAAGAGAATATCCAGAACTGCAGCTTTAAAAACTCACACTGAAGTCTTGCTGATTTGGTCTTTTAGTTGTTGTGGGAGGGCTGCAAAGAAATAAAAGTGTCCATGGTAAAAGTGGTATTAATGCTGTAGAGGAAATGCCTGAACCTTTCAGTTCAACAAATATTCTAAGCAACTTTTTGGGGATGGGTTTGTCTCACAGGTATTGTCGACTACATGATTGAACAGGCTGGTCCTCCATCCAAACAGATTCAGGCTACCAAGCAGGTACAGGAATTTCTGAGGGATGGGGATGATGTCATCATCATTGGTGTCTTTAACGCAGAGAATGACAAAGCTTATCAGCTTTATCAGGAAGCAGGTAAAGAATGTTAAAATATTCATGTATGTTTTGTTGAGATTCTGTCCAGGACTTTGGGCATGGGGAGTTCCTTTAGTTCTGCTCTTAGTTCAGTGGAGGAGGTTGGAGAGGAATAAGAGGAAGAAGATTTAAGGGTGGTCTTCCACTTGCATTTAAGAAAAAAGCTTACACCAGATTTTTAGGCTATAACTTAATAATCAGCCAGTCACAGGAGTTAACTTGCCTTGGTACTGTGTCCCTCAAGACATGCAAACTAGAGAGGAGGGAAAATTCCTAGCTGAGGAACAAATCACAACTTGTCTTAAAGCCTTGCTAGCTTTGCCATCTGCTACTGCTTGTTTCAGATCTGACAGTTCCAGAGGCTGAGCTCTGCTGAACTTGTTTTGGGTGGGGAGCCTAGAGAAAAAATCATCATCTGCTCTGGATCAGTTTAGCTAGACCATTCCTGGCAGCATTTACTCTTATAACTCTTTTTTGACGTGACACACTCACAGTTCTGCTAACAGTATTTGCTGCCACATAGAAAAGGCAACCCTTGAAGTGCTCAGTTCCTGTGTCTCACATGATTGAACTACTCGCAGCCACTCATGGTTTCTGCCACAGTCTTGAGAGCAGGATGGGCAATTTTCCCCCTGCTTCTGGCGCTGCCCTCATTTGTAGTTGGATTAGGAGCTGATTTGGTTGCTCCAGGAGGGCAAGATTCAGAACTCTTTCCTAGGCTCCCTCAAAGTAAATAGATTGACTAGATGACCTTGTGAGTTCCTTTCCAGCTCTACTTTGTTATCTGGGGGGAAGCCAAGTAGTAGGAGACTGATAAACAAATAGCTGGTTCACTGTATGTGGTTTGGAAGCTGTTCAAGGTTTTTGAATATGTAGAATAACTCACCAAGCAGACGGGTTGTTGAACAGCATTTGAGTAGTGCTGCTTGAATTGTATGTATTTTCACATGCTTCTCACCTCTGGGTGAGAGCTGTTCCCCAAGACTTTAGGGTTGTTCTGTGCCCCATTGAGAATGGAAAGAGAGTTTCCTTGCAGTGTAGTCTCAAGATTTCAGTCAGAGGCTGTCAATTCACTTCTTCTTGACTTTTTCTTCTCTCTAACCTTAATTTTTCAGCTAATGGTTTAAGGGAAGATTACAAGTTCCACCACACCTTCAGCAACGAGATTGCAAAACTACTGAAAGCATCTCCAGGAAAACTGGTTGTCATGCAGCCAGAGAAATTTCAGTCAAAGCATGAACCCAAGATTCATGTTTTGAATCTTAAAGTGAGTACCTGGTCCAAAGCTAGAAAATTTGTGCACAGATTGAAGGTTCTCTTTCTTTGTATATATCAGCAGTTGGCATCTTCCTGTTGGAAGTACTCCACTAGATATTTGAGGCAACCTGTTTGTCCACTGAAATAGTACTGCTTTCATAGAGCCATTTGATTGGAAGAAGACCTTTGAGGTCATAGAGTCCATCTTTGGTCAAGAAAGCTTTGTGAAGTTAACCCAGAGGTTATGTAGTCAAATAATAATTTACATTACAATATTCGGTTTAAGGGTAGAATACTACACTATCTTTAGTGCGCAAGGATTTGAAGAATATGGGGACAGTGTTGTTTATAACATGCCTCTCTTTCTCATTCCTTCATGCATCAATGTTAGTTGTCAGTAGTGTGTAACAGCAGTGCTGCTTAAGTCTATTTGCCTGAACGTTTTTCCCAATATTTTTAAGCAGGACTCTACAGATGGATCAGAGATTAAAGAGCACGTGCTAAAACATGCTTTGCCTCTAGTTGGCCATCGCAAGCCTTCCAATGATGCTAAAAGATATGCTAAGCGTCCTCTAGTGGTCGTCTATTACTCTGTAGACTTCAGTTTCGACTATCGTGTTGGTAAGTTAGCTAAGGTTACCATTCTGCCACTTTGGGAGGATGCAAGCTGTAAGTAACTAGAAGTTACTAATCCTGTTGTGTTCTGGTTTTTTCAGCTACCCAGTACTGGAGAGGTAAAGTCCTGGAAGTGGCCAAAGACTTCCCTGAATACTTGTTTGCTGTTTCTGATGAGGAAGATTACTCTTCTGAAATAAAAGATTTGGGCCTGCTTGAGAGTGGAGAGGACATCAATGTTGCCATTCTGGATGAAGGTGGCAAGAAATATGCCATGGAGCCGGAAGAGTTCGACTCTGATGTACTCAGGCAGTTTGTTGTATCATTCAAAAAAGGTACAGTTTCTGAAATAGGGTTCTCTGAGCTATTTGCTCTGTTTTTCTTTCCAAGAGCTTTTCCTGAGGCAATCACTACAATGAAGTTGTACATCACAGTGCGTCTTAAAGCTTTTTGCTGTTTCTTGTCTTTTTTTTTTCATAGTTCATTAAACTTGCTTGGACTATGCTGTCATGTTTAGTTATATTCTAACACTGAATGTGTTTGGCAAGCCTAAAATTTTCTTGTAGCTTTGGAGTGTGAGCTGACTATTTCTATTTGGGACTATTATAATAAATCACTGTCTAATACATTGTGGAAGGACAGCCATAAAACGATGGAGAAAGGTTCTAGGGAATTAGAAAGCAAATTGTTGTCTATATTTCACAAGGTTATTGTACTCAAACATCATCAGCAAGCTAGCCTGTTTCCTGCAGAGTTAAGTTCATGTAGTAGTGCAATGCTTTTTATCTGGCGGGAGGATGTACTTCTTTCTGCCCCTTCTTTTGGGTGGTTGTAAGGATTGGTCTTTAATGTATTCTAACAGTGGTGTGTGTTTTGCTTCCTTCTAGGAAAACTGAAGCCTATTGTGAAGTCCCAGCCAGTGCCAAAAAATAACAAAGGGCCTGTGAAAGTGGTAGTGGGTAAAACTTTTGATACCATGGTAATGGATCCAAAGAATGATGTGCTTATAGAGTTCTATGCCCCGTGGTGCGGACACTGCAAGAAGCTAGAACCGGTGTATACTGAGCTAGGCAAAAAATACAAGAATGAGAAAAATCTAATCATAGCCAAGATGGATGCTACTGCCAACGATGTGACAAGTGACCACTACAAAGTGGAAGGATTCCCCACTATCTACTTTGCTCCAAGGGACAAGAAGAACAACCCTATTAAATTTGAAGGCGGAGACAGAGATTTAGAACATTTGAGCAAATTTATAGAGGAGCATGCAACAAAACTCTCCAGAACAAAAGAAGAGCTTTAGATAAGATGAGGGTGGTGAAGAGTAATTGTACATTGTAGTTAAAAAGCAAGTTACTGACAAAACTTCGTGAGAGAAGAATTAAGCAGTTTGAGCAAGGAAATTCTTGAGCAGTAAAACAATTGCAGTATCTTTTTTTATATGGCAGAAATTTTTTTCTGGACACTGAACTTCTCAGATCTGAATGTCCTACATTAGTTATGGTATTGATCTTTGGAGAAAAATACATCCTTTATTTTTTGTGACTATCTTAAGCTTGATTATTTGACTCCAGTGCAGCTGTTTATAAGTTAAAAGATATTACCAAAAAGAGAGAACCAGATCACTCTGCCTAACAGATTTCTTTGTCTTATTTGTTGGTATGGCTACGGGGGGAAGCAGTGCCTTGAGCCAGTCTCTTCTGTTACAGTTCTGTATACCTATTTATGTGACTATATCACTGTATTTATTGCAGAGGATAAGGATGGCAGTTTTTTCAAGTGTGGATAAATTATTCAGTTCTATTGAGATAAGACACAGTGACTTGCTAACTAAATGTGCTCTAGATGTGTCTGGTTTTGCTTTGTGCCCCTCTGTAGAGAGGGTGATTTTAAACTAGCAGGTCTTTCTAATTTACCTCTCTTTACTTTTCCATATTGACCCATTTATATCTTGGTCTTCCCAAGTATGTATTGGAGTAATGGGAGTGTAGCAGAAAGAGTATCTAGTGGGTGGTAATGCTTTGATTCTGATATTGGATCTGTGTGTTACCACTTCCTTTCCTTTTGCAGAAAGGAAAGTTTGGTAGTGATTCACCTTCAGGGAGGCAAACTGAGACCACCTGATGGACTTTATTCCTGTGGCAGTTACTGCAGGTACAAAGGATGATTGCATCTGCTCTATACTCCACTTGGCAGTATGTGTGTTTAAAAGTGGATTTTGATTTTGAATGTCCCAGTTTAGATATGTTCGTAAATTTATGGGCCACGTTGGGGTGGTAGGTTTATGTACTTCAGAAATACTGCCTCAGAGCTGTAATGCTGTGGCATGTGCAATTTGAGTGTCACTGAGGCAGTTCTTCATTTTACAGGTAGTGCTTCTCTCCTAGCAGCACCATTTTCTGTCTTGCAAAAGACCAGTATCATCAGTCTTCCTTCGCTGTTTCCTTGTTGCATTAGGTTTCAGCTTTTTGGAGGGTGTGCAAATCTAAAACCAACACTCAGTCTGTTTTTTTTTCTTCTGGGGAGTTGCAGTCTTCTGTGTAGCAAGGGTAGACTAATGTCCAGGAGGTGGCTGTTAGGTACTTCAGTCCAAGGACCCAAAAAGGCCTGCAAAGGTATACATAATCCCTATGTAATTTCCTGCACTTTACATCCCTGTTAAGGGGACCTTCCTCCATGCTGCTTTAACAGGGGACTCGCTGTTAACAACCTACTTGTCAAAGTGTGACTATTATTCTTGCAGAGATATGTAAGACTTTGTGAAGGTTTTCCCTTAATTAACAATTTTTCTGAAGCTAGTGAACAAAACTCACCAGCACATTATGAATGAAAGGGACGATATCAAATCTCCATGGAGTGCTGGGGTGTGCTTGAATGCAATTTGGCTCCTTTTGTCAGCAAGATCTGGAAAGCCCTATGCAACTCATCAGGATCACATCTCAATTGCTGTGTTGTGTTAAAGCAGTGTAATCATTTACTTCAGGCCTTGGAATTGTCAGTCTCTTCTTTTCATTGTGGAGGGCTTTTTCTCTGCTGTCCTTAAACGTACAGATAGGCGAAATACTGCCTAAGCTTAACACCTGCAAGACTTCCCAAGTGCATTATCTTCCCATCACTTGCCATTTGTGTTCACAGCTTTTCTGTAGAGCCTTCAAAGGACATGATGTGGAGGTTGTAGTGAGGTGGGTGTTGGTTTTTTCTCCCAAGTAACAAGTGAAAGGATGAGAGGAAATGGCCTCAAGTTGCTTCAGGGAGGTTTAGGTTGGAGAGTAGGAAAAAATTAATTACTTGGAAAAGCGGTCAAAGCATTGGAACAGGCTGCCCAGGGACGTGGTGGAGTCACCATCCCTGGAGTGGTTTAAAACACATGCAGATGTTGCACTTTGGAATGTGGTTTAGTGGGCATGGTGGTGCTGAGCTGATGGCTGGACTTGATGACCTTAGAGGTCTTTTCCAACCTTAGTGATTCTATGAATGTGCATAGGGAACAGGACTGAGATCAAACTTATGTGAGCTCCAGCTTACATTAGAGGTGACTTTTTTCAGCTTTAGAAATCACAGGTGAGCCAAGTAGCAAGCTCTGTCTTGTCTGCAAGTTGATATCAACTCAGTTCTTCAAATAAGTATGCACAGACTTTTAAAATCAGTTCTTAAGCATAGTTCGGCTTCTATCCATAAGCAAATAGCTCACTTAATACTGCAGGGAACTAAATTGCTCCTGCTTATTAGTTGCAGGCTTGTGGGGATTTGTTCCAAAACAGATGTCATCTAACCAAAAGGAGGACACAGGTAAATATGGAGCAGTTAGAAGGGAGGGTGAAAAGTCCCTTATTGATGGTGGGGACTCCAGTCAGGGCTGATGCTCCATTCTTTGTGGGATAATAAGCATCGAAGTTGATCATAAGAGTTTCTTGCCTCTCTTCTTGCAGGTGCTAACTTACTAACATTATCATTGCCAATGCTGTACTGTTTATGTAGACTTCTTCAGGAGCTGACACCACTGGGGTGAAAACAGTCTCCAGACTACTGGGAGTCTGCAGGGCATAAAAGGCACAAGACCCCAGGAAGTGCTCAAGGTGTGTTTGCATGGTGCTCCTACCATCTTTCTTGTTCTTGCCTCTGCAGGTGGAGGCAGCTTGGTACATGGTTACTTCAAGGCTGTGCTCAAAGGCCTGAATTTTGTTCTTGAACAGCTGTGCTCAAGTCAGAGCTGAATAAGGAATAGGAATACACTAGTTGTAGTGTTACTAACTTAGTTTCTTGACAATTGTGACCTGCAAGAGCAGGCAGCAATAGCCCAAGTAGGTTGTGTGTTTGGATTATGAGTAGTAGAGGAAATGAGGATTTGATCCATCATTACATTAGTGTTGTCTGGCCACATTTCCTGTGAATCCTTGTCTGTGCTGCACTCACTGGCATTGGCACCCCATAACTGATGTATTTACCTTGATGACTTCCCAGAAAGATGCTTGTCAACTTTGGACAAAGTCATACTGGAAAGCAAACTGCTTTCCTTAGCTCCAGCATCCTATCCTCTGCTGTGCGCTATTGACATCACATTGACTTTTTCTCTGAAACTCACTGGGATGACTACATTATTAGGTCTGTTGTCTCTCAGAGAGATAAAGCTGTCTACCTGAAAAGTGATACTAATGTGATTGATGCCTTTTTTAGGGGAACAGGCCATGCTATCTTTTGGAATTTGTTAAATGCATTATGCGTATCTGCTTTTCTCTTCCTGGTGCATTAGGATGCTTTCCTAAGTATCCTAAACTTCACTGAAGTGTTACCTAAGTATTGTTGATTAGCCTTGGTGTTCCCTTCTCACAGAATTAAAAAAAAAAAATGCATGCAGTACAGAAAAACAGGGGAGCTCCCCTCACTTGCTCTTACCCACAGCTGCATGAGCATATGGCATCATTTCTGATTATAGTTCCAGGTGGAAGAAAGCCTGCAGTTGATGCTCCAGCACGGGATCGATTTGTGTAGTAATAATAGTTCCCAGGCAGCCTCCAAGGAGCCTGGCCTGGTGTAAATATGTCCCACATGCTCATCCTCCAGAAAACAATTTTTCTGTAGTACACCTTTGAGTAGTCAGAGTTGAGTCGTCTTCAGGGCCACTTCCTTTCCCTGCAGAGTCAAAAGCTAAGCTGATCAGCAACTCCAGCACAGCCAGTGCTCCCTGAGGAGTGAGTTTGTCTGTACTGTGTCTGTGGGACATTCAAGGTGACAGTAAGTACTGGTCTGGGATTGTGATGCTGCATTGAGTTCTAGCTTTTTTTGTACCAGAAGAGATTGTTAACAGTAGGGGTGCACATCTCTTTGCAATCAAGGTTATTAGTTTTTACTTTAAACAATTTTATACTTCAAAGCTGTTAATTATGGTGATGTCTGTGTATGGCCCAAGATTCAGCTGGTAGCAAGCAAGCAAAGTGCTGCAAAGCTGGAGACTACTCCACAAAGTTTTTCTTTTCTCTTGTATATTGAGGGTATGTGTTGAGGAAGTGAGCTTCTGAAACGTAGAACATGAGTAAGAATATATAATATAGGTTAAAGGCTTTTCAGAAAGTAGCATTAGCTGTAGTGGTCAGACTCTTGTGTCCTTTATTTTGTGATAGGCAAAAGAAGCCACTGCAAACTGTCCATGCTCCAAAAGGCTTTTTGCTCGCAGCCTGCATTGGAAATGGACAAGAATCAGAGGACTGAGTATTGCAGCCTGTACACTCAGCACTTGATGTGGGGTAATGAGTACATGAAGCCTAGTGCAAACAAGTATGTAATCCACTTAGTCAAACTGCTTCAGAGCCTTATATTTGTTAAGCAAGTTGGCTTTGGTTTGCTGTGCTTGAGCTGTAAAAGTCCTCATTTTGGTGCAGAGCAGGAACCTGTGAGCAAGCATAGCTGAAAGCACTGAAATGCTGCAGCATCTTGCTGCAATTGCCAGGCACTTCTGGGACTTCAGCTAGTAGTGCCACACAGCTTGAGGTACAGAGGTGTGCATATGTCAGGTATCACTGCTGTGCATATGTCAGGGGAGGGCTCCCAATTACCACTATGAAGGGTTCGCCTTTTGCTGCCTAGACCCATGGTACCCGTGGTAGGTCGCATGAAGCCGTGCAGCCATGGGCAGGAGAAAGGTTTTCCTGACACGTGACCTGTCTTGATATCTGTGCCCAGAATCCCACAGAGCTCACAAGCCTGCTTGTTTTCTTTCAACTTCTGGAGGTTGTTCTGCACTGAAGCCCATTCCTTTAGACACAGCTTTGTGTGCTCTCAGAGGCCAGAGACTCATGTTAGTGCTGGAGTTCCTATGCCATGAACAGCTGGTTTTACATGAAGCCACTTTGCTGTTACTTGACCCTTTACAGCATTGCTTTTAGCACCATTCCTGAACATCTGAAAATGCTCTGTGCACGGCATGAAACCTAAATTATCGCATCTTTGCAGAGGCTGAGTGAGACTGCTTGGGTCTGGAAGGACATGGCCATTCTCCAGTTTCACTTCTGTCTATAGGGAGGAAGAGATCTGCTCTGTGAATTGCTCTGAGTCCTTACATTAGAAAGGTGGAAGTTTCCATTTCAGAAGTGCTGTTTGTTCACAGCCCAAGCTGTGTGTGTCTTGATTAACAAA